ATTATTATATATAATTAAAATCATAATATATTATTTTGTATCTGTTACCAAACTTACTTTTTAGATAGAGCTCATCTAATCATAAAACAGAAAGTAAGGATATCTTTGGCACGCCCAAGATTTAATACACTTAGAACATTTGTCTTACTGTTTTGCAAATACGTAAGAATAGTCGCCCTCGCAAATGAGTTTCTATGTTTAATGAAAATATCTTGGAAAACAGAATATTTTTTTCTATTCAAGAACCTATATTTCGACTGATCGTTCCTATGGCAGCTATTAGAGTCCGAAATGATTTTGCATATATACGAAGAGCACAGTGAAACCTTTGAAAGCCGGCGTTGGTGGCAATATCTTGAAAAACAACAATTTTTTAAACAAGAACTTCATTTTCGGCCGGTCTTTCTTTTGGCAACTATATAGTATAAATATTCGATCCAGCCGATTCCGACATATATACTGCCTGCAACAAAAAAACGGACCTATACTTGCTCGCATAAAAATAGACATACGGACATGGCTATATAAACTGTGGCTGTGCCTGCCGCCTTCATCATTTAAACTTTTTTTAATATAAATACGACCCCCGAAACGCCTTATAGCCCCTGTCCACTGGTTTAAGAAATGTCACATGTTCAAATTTCACATATTGGTGTTCCACCGGTTGTCGGTAAAAACAGCTGATCGAGTTTCTTTAATTTACATAGGCGCCGTCAAGTTTTTCTTCCAAAACTCAACAACTGCGCAATCAAAGTAAGGGCTCCATTTTAGATACTCTTTTCGGGATTTCGCCATGTTTAAATTCTAAAATCTGTGGGATTACTCTAATTCTAAATTTCTTATTTAATGTTGCCGCTTGCCTTCGTTGATATATCAGCTGTTTATGTTTACGATACTTTACCATTTTTCACAACATCGATAGAAATCTTGATTAATCATCGCAAAAAAAAAACGAAATGTTCGGAGCGAATTTACACATTTCTGAAAAATGTGCCTTTTTTGAATGATGTGTAAAATGTGTTTTCCTTTGGGGAAACGCACAGGGCGCATTTCACACATGTGTCAAAAATGTGACATTTCATGAAATGTGTCTGAAATGTGTTCAGTGGACAGAGGCTATTAGACTACATTCAGATGCAACCGGCCCGACAGTACCCGAAACATTATGACACAGCAATTCAATAGACCTCCCACACAACAGTAATACAACAATTTCAGGACGGCATTAAAGGCACCGACCCCTTGAAAATAACTACAACTTCGCAGTACAACACGCCGCCTACTAGTGAGATTATATAGATTGACGTTTCCGTCAATTTGCTTCAACGTTCTTAGATAATATCTAAAGCAGAGTATTATCTCTCGAGGCGGTCGGCCTAATGTCGTCTCGCTTTCACGCATCGGCTATTGCATTATTTACATCTTCTTGCGCCAGTTTCCATACGCATCTGATGCGTAAAGTCGATCTAGCCATGTACGTCTGTCTGTCCGTTCGTCCGTCCGCCCGTCCGTATGTATGAACGCAAGGATCTCAGAACCTATAAGAGCTAGAGACTTGAAATTTTAGATGTAGATGCTCCTAGTTCCCGCGCAGATCGAGTTTGTTTCCGATAATCGATAACTTACTCCGTTTCCAAGCAATCGATAATCTATCGATAAATCTATATCGATATCCTGTTTTTTGGGCAATTTTGGTAAATAATAAGAGCTAGAGTCACCAAACTTGACATATAGCTTCTAAACTAGAATATATATTTATTTATTTATTTATTTATTAATGGTCGACAAAACGAGTGTCTTCCTCATTATTCAATAGATTATACAATAGAATTTTATGCTAAAAGCCTAGTTAAATTTTCTAAATAGCATCACCGACCGATGGAGGTGTTTTATTTGCCAGTCCGGCCAGCTGTGCCCCTTTTCACAGCTAATTTTGTCAGTGACGCTATTAGAGCCTACATCTAAGCAGATGGTTGTAAGTAAGAAAAAAGTGTTCTCAAGTAACATTAAAAATAATCTTAATTTGCTATATTAATAAAGAAAATACAATAAATAGGAAAAATGAAAGTAAGAAGATTGTTAATAAAGTAAAGCAATGTAAGTTAGATAAAGAGTGTTAAGTAGATAGGGCAAAGAGAAAAGTAATGGGAAATCACCGACCCGGTGGGGGAAAATTTTTCAGCCTGTCCGGCAAGCTATGACCCTGCTCATAGCTGGGAATGGTCAGCGACTTCCCGAAGGTATCCTGAAAGCAACGATTTTATTAGGGGTAGAGACAGTTCGGTAGAGAAAACTTGATGCAAACTATTATAATTTTTATATAGCACGCGAAAAGGATTGTGCATAGCGTAGTCTGTTGTGCACGTAGATAGTAAAAAGGGGCGATAATTTCTGGTTGGTCTAGCCGGAACAGAGAATTGAGCAGAACAGATTCAATACGATCCCGGCTGTTGTTATACTGTGGAGACCAGATGCAAGAGCAGTATTCAAGGATAGGGCGAAAAAGAGAGATGTACAGAAGTTTTGTTTTAAAAGGATCGTTAAACTGTTTAGACCATCGTTTAATGAATCCAAGTACACCTTTTGCCTCATTAACGATGGTATCTATGTGAAGATTGAAACAGAGTTTGGAATCAAAAATTACGCCTAGATCCTTAACTGTTAGTATAAGTTGCAAAGGGATATTGTCGATTGTATAACTGACAAGATAAGGTGTAGTACGATTAAAAGTCATAAACATACACTTTGAACAATTTAGATGCAATTGATTGGCCGAACACCATAGTTGCATAGCGTTCAAATCGTCTTGTAGACGAGAATGATGTAGGGGATTTGTGTATGATAGAAAAAGTTTGACATCGTCCGCATACATGAGTACACGGGCATTTGATATAACAGAGGGGAGATCATTTATAAAAAGAGTAGAGTAAAGGTCCAAGATGACTACCTTGAGGAACACCAGAAGTAACGTGAACCCGTTTAGAGGTAGTCAGCCTCAGCATTACTCTTTGGGTCCTACTTTTTAAATAAGAATTAATCCAAAGCAGAAGAGACAGGGGGAAACCTATTCGGTCAAGTTTAAAAAGTATAATGTCATGGTGCACAGAGTCAACCGCCTTACTGAAGTCAGTGTAAATGACATCAGTTTGCATTTTCGAAAGGAAAGCATCGTTTACCAAGGAAGTAAACTCAAGCAGACTGGTCGTAGATGACCGATTCTTTACGAATCCATGTTGAACAGGGAAAACAACTAATTTGCAGAAATACTGCAAATTCGAAGTAATTATTTTTTCAAATAATTTAGGAATAGCGGACAGTTTTGCAATGCCCCTGTAATTTCGTATATCAGACTTCCCACTTTTCTTGTGAAGAGGAATGATATAAGATTCTTTCCAAAGAGATGGAAAGACAGAAGTTTCAAGGGATAGATTAAAAAGCTTTAGGAATGGATAAAGAAGGGAAGAACTACACTCCTTGAGTAGACAACTAGGAATATTGTCCGGCCCAGGAGAGTAAGAAGACTTTAAAGAGTTTATAGCTAATAGGAGAGAGGAGTGTGAAATAATTAGAGGAGGTACATAACTTGCGGACGAAATAGTATAAGGGTAAGAATTAGTATTAGGATAGACTGAAGAGTAAGTTGATTGGAAAAAGTTAGCAAAGAGGTTATATGCATTTGATGTTGGAAGAAGAGGGTTCAGGGTATCCCCTAGTCGGGAGCTCCCGACTAGAACCTCTTATTTGTTTAAATATGTTTTATTTTGCGCTGGAATCATCAGTGCCTTCTGATCTCCATCGAGCGAATATATAACCGAATAATGCATAGTTACAAGTGAGTAGCTTATCTGATATTGACAATGATTATATTATTAATTACAAGGAATGGCAAGGAGATATTTAAGTAATTCGCCTTGTAGGTAAGTCGGTGGAGTGTAGCCTTCGGAGGCGCCTCTCTCTGATGGGGTCAGCCAGGACCCTGGCAACCGCGATCGCGTGCTGCACCAACTTGTCGGCGTATCGACTGCTAAAGACCTTTGTTAGGTGACGATCGCGATCGATGGCGTCGGTTGTCACGAACTATGGCAGACCAGCAGCCTTGCATGCTGCCTTGGCTTGGACCACTCTTATGTGACGCAGCTGGTGGGCTGACGCAATGCACCAAACTTGAATAGCGTATGTCCTGATTTGCGTTAGCATCGTTTTAAATAGCAGTGCCTTCGTGGAAACATACAGCTTGCTTTGAGGCTTTAGTAGCCAGTCGATCCTTTGAAGCCTTCTCATGCATTTTGCTTTCGTTGTTGCGATGTGGGACCTACATATGAGCCATCGGTCCAAGTGGACGCCCAAGTAGCAAAATGAGCTGGTGTGCTCAATGGTTCTTCCATCGAACCGCAGCCCCTTGCTACTTTCTGGGCGCAGCGTGAAACTGACGTAAGCGGACTTAGCACAGTTAATAGCGATGTTCCAGCTGGCTGTCCAAATTTAGACCGGCAGCAGACAGTCCTGCACTGCTTTTGTTGCAGATGGGAGGGATTCATGTGAGGCCAGGAAAGCGGTGTTATCCGCATAAGTTGCCACCAGCAGCTCGCGGGGCTGAAGGTCACATTTACCTATAAGGCCTACTCAACTTACTTCGCATATTGGAAAGTTGTATAAAGTATGTATGTCTACAACAATACTACTAGAACTAACGACTACCGAAGAACAGGAACAAACTATAAGACAGTATCATATAAACTCAACCACAGGAGGACAATTTTTAAGAAACTGTAGGACATATGACAGACTTAAATATGACAAGCTCCCAAAGGGATAATATTTTAAATACCCGCTTTAGGGATCGCTTGGCACATCTTTTAAATTGCGTTAAGTCTTAGGCAGTAACCACCAATTGCAATGTGCAACTCATTCCCATTGGACATACAAAATATAGGTTTCGTAATAAATTGGTTATATGCTTTTCATCGATTTTTTTTATTGAATAACTGTTTATGAGAAATTAATATGGTAGCTATGTAGGTAATGTCGATTGAGATGGCTGTGAATTTTGATCATTTTCATCTAAACCGCTGTGCTGTGCTTTTCTGGTGCTGCGTTCTGAATTATCGTCTATAAACTCTTCTTTGTACCGCGTCCATTTAATTAGGGTTTCCGGTGATCTATAGAGAAATATAAGTTTACCATACAAATCTTCTTCCAAACGATACTCCTTAGTCTCCCGAACCAAGTAGATGTCGTTGCACAGCTTCAGTATTCGGTCTACGTATGGTAAGTCCTCAAACATTATTCGACGGTGGTTGTTGGCTATTAACGACCTGATGAGGCGAGACACAACGTAAACACATGTTGTGTAGAGTCCAATTATCCTAAATAAATGACAACCATTAACAAAATACGTTGCAGTTGTTAACATTCGCAGTGTAATAACAGGTAAATCTATCAATAAACTCCTAAATTGTGGGAGATCATGGTTTTTCTCATAAATATATAATGAATAATGAATTATTTTAATCAATTTTTTTTAAGTTAACGTACCCAGTTTTTTCAAGGAAACTCATAGTTGAAGGAAATGATTTATCATTGAATATATAAAAAACTATACCATCATCACAGTCACTTAAAGGTAAGTTGAAAAGGATGTTTTTATAGAACTTGTCGTCACAGTAGTCATGCATTTCCCACCAAACTTTCCCTTCATCCTGTTTTTTTTGTAATATTATTGGCCGATTATATTTACCTGCAATAAGGAAAGAATATTATTACATATAATTAAAACCATAATAGTTTATTTTCTATCTGTTACCAAACTTACTTTTTAGATAGATCTTATCTAATCATAAACAACTAAGAGGTTCTAGTCGGGAGCTCCCGACTAGGGGATACCCTGAAACCTCTTATTCCAACACAAAATAAATTAATAAATAAAGTTCCCTTGGCAGGACTCGAACTCGCAACTGACCGCATTACTTGCTGTCGACTCTACTCAACAGCCACACCAGCAAAAAAAAAAAAAAGTAATACTTTCCCCGGTAGGGCTCGAACTCGCGACAGACCGCACGACTTGGCATGCCTCTAGCCAGCAGCCCCACCAAAAATTAAGTACTTATGATAAAAAAAGGAAAGGATAACATAACAAAAAAAAGATGCAATTACCATGCTTTTAGAATGCGAAGCAGACGTGCATGAATGTGTGTGTGTACATGTATACAGAAATTCTTAAAGCTGCTGCCCCATTCAAATGCGCAGTTGCATATAACTTTGGTTTTTCTTAACCGATCTTTATGAAATTTTCTACAGTATATCTTATTGTACCATAGAATATTTGTGTATTCTGAAAAAGTCAATTGCATTTAAATTGTGGTTTAAATTGGTTGGCAATGAAAGTTGGGTTATTAACTTGACTTATAGCTCTGGGGTGGTAGCGGGGAGGTGGCGATAGGTATGAAATTAAAGATACTTGAAATATCTATAATATTCTAGAAGCAACATATCATGTTTGATGGCTCTAGCTCCTATTATTTACCCAATTTGCTAAAAAAAAACAGGATGTCGGGACGGACAGACAGACGGACATGGCTAGATGGACTCGGCTATTGATGCTGATCAAGAATATATATACTTTATGGGGTCGGAGATGCTTCCTTCTTCCTGTTACATACATTTGGATTTTGCACAAGTACAATATACCCTTATACCCACTTTTAATGGGTTCAGGGTGTAAACAAAAAGTTAGGATATCTTCGGCACGCCCAAGATATAATACACTTGGAACATTTGTCTTAATGTTTTTCAAATATGTAAGAATATTCGCCCTCGCAAATGAGTTTCTATGTTTGATAAAAATATCTTGGAAAACAGAATATTTTTCTATTCAGGAACCTACATTTCAACTGATCGTTCCTATGGCAGCTATTAGAGGCCGAAATGATTTTGCATATATACGAAGAGCACAGTGAAACCTTTGAAAGCCGGCGTTGGTCGCAATATCCTAAAAAACAAACATTTTTTTAAACAAGAACTTCATTTTCGGCCGATCGTTCCTTTGGCAACTATATAATATAAATATCCGATCCCGCTGGTTCCGACATAAATATTGCCTACAATAAAAAGACGGACCTATGCTTGTTTGCATAAAAATAGACAGACGGACATAACCTCGGCTGTTGATGCTGATATTTAATATATAAATAAACGAATTCGACGAGTGATAGATGGCAATTGTCAAACTAAGACTGTGCTTTTCGACTTCATCATATAAACCTATCTTAGCATAATTACGAGCCTTATGAAATGGTCACTCAGTGCGCGAGTTTTCACATTAGAAATCCCAGCCCCGAAAATATTCAGACTACATTCAGATGCAGGACCCACTTTATCAATCCGATCGCGGTATCCGAAATTTGACACAAGGATCTGACCCTTATGGGCCAACAATTCAATCGACCTCCCATACAACAATGTTAGGGCGGCATTAAGGGCACCGGATCGGTCGGGGCCGTAAATTTGCTTCATCGTTCTTCGATCATATCTGTCGAGGAACCACTAGCCACCACGTCAGAATCTGGTCTCCAGAACTTTACTTAAAAAAAATAAAACAAGTCAGAGGTTCTAGTCGGGAGCTCCCGACTAGGGGATACCCTGAACACTCTTCTTCCAACATCAAATATATAATATATATATATTCTATTTTGGAAGCTATATGTCAAGTTTGGTGACTCTAGGTCTTATTATATACCAAAATTGCCCAAAATACAGGATATCGATATAGATTTTTATCGATTGCTTGGAAACGGAGTAAGTTATCGATGATCGGAAACAAACTCGATCTGCGCAGGCCCTAGGAGCACCTACATTTAAAATATCAAGTCTCTAGCTCTTATAGGTTCTGAGATCCTTGCGATCATACATACGGACGGACGGAAAGCCAGACGGACATGGCTAGATCGACTCGCCTATTGGTGGTGATCATGAATATATATACTTTATGGGGTCGGAGAAGCTTGCATCTGCCTGTTACATACATTTGGATTTTGCACAAATACAATACACCCTTATACCCATTTTTAATGGGTTCAGGGTATAAACATAAATTGTATCTTATGCATATAAGGCATGGTAGAGATTTTAAAAAAATCACTTAGCAATTTATAACATCACACTGATTAGCTTAAGCACGCAAAACAACTATACACCAACCAAACAACACAATTTTCAACGAACAAGTTTAGAAAATCAAGGCTCAAATCAAAAAGCAAACACTAACGGGCAAACCCCTTATTCCCAACAGGTACCAAATATTAATAGACAAAACAACAAGCAAAACACTAGATACTACGGAATGAACAGCAATTAAGGCAGCAGTATAACATGGCGGGTAATTATGCCAGAAAAAAACAGACCAACAAGGCGTTACTAGTGGGCAAACCAAAGCTAGAGCAGGAGTATCAAGAGTTGGTAGTCAACAACAGTATAGAAACACAAGACCAATAAAAATCTCTAAACTAAGCCAAACAAAAAGTACAAAATATTGATCATTCAATAAACCTGAAACTCGTAACATTAGAATCTAAAATCACAATATAACAAACTGTATAAACAACATGTATTAAGAATTTATTCAAAAAGGAGTTGCGTTTTTGGTATTCAACTTTGTTCGACGGATTAATAGGCCTAGACATTTTAAACAGACTCATAGAAACATCGACTTTCACAAAGGAATATAAGAGAAACCTAGTACAAGAATGCGCAGCAAAAGGCGAATAGAATTTCCGAATTATATCCGAGTAAAAACAAAATAAAAAAATATACTAGCTAAAGTAATTATAACAAGTAAGAGGTTCTATTTGGGAGCTCCCGACTAGGGAATACCCTCAACCCTCTTATTCCAACACAAAATAAATTTAAAACAAAAAAAGTTCCCTTGACAGGGTTCGAACTCACAGCTTGCATTACTTGCTGTCGACTCTACTCAACAGCCACACCAACAATAAAGTACTTGTGATAAAAAAATGAACTAAAATAACATTAAAAAAAAATGCAATTACTATGCTATTAGAATGCGAAGCAGACGCGCATGAATGTGTGTGTGTACATGTATACAGAAATTCTTAAAGCTGCTGCCCCATTCAATTGCGCAGTTGCATATAACTTTGGTTTTTCTTAACCGATCTTTATGAAATTTTCTACAGTATATCTTATTGTACCATAGAATATTTGTATATTCTGAAAAAGTGAATTGCATTTAAATTGTGGTTTAAATTGGTTGGCAATAATAGTATGGTTATTAACTTGATTTATAGCTCTGTGGTGGTAGCGGGAAGGTGGCGATAGGTAAGAAATGAAAGATACTTGAAATATCAATAATATTCTAGAAGCAACATATCATGTTTGGTGGCTCTAGATCTTATTATTTACCCAATTTGCTTAAAAAAAACAGGATGTCGATATCGATTTTTATTGATTGTTTGAAAACGGAGTATGTTATCGATTATCGGAAGCAAACCCGATCTGCGCAGGCACTAGGAGCACCTACATATAAAATTTCAAGTCTCTAGCTCTTATAGATTCTAAAATCCTTGCGTTCATACATACATACGGACGGACGGACGGAAGGACGGACAGACAGACGGACATGGCTAGATCGACTCGGCTATTGATGCTGATCAAGAATATATATACTTTATGGGGTCGGAGATGCTTCCTTCTGCCTGTTACATACATTTGGATTTTGCACAAATACAATATACCCTTTTAATCATTTTCAATGGGTTCAGGGTATAAAAAGGGGATATCTGTTGTACAGAAGAATTATACGAAGCACAAAACTAAACAGGATCACAATATATGCATAGAAATACTCCTTATGGGACAGAAGTACAATAAACACAAAATCTTAGTAATACTCAGCGTAACAATATGCAGTGATTTCGAGCAACACAGCAAAGTAGAAATAAACATGAACCATCTTAGATGGAAGAAAAACTAGAATTTAATAGAAATATATAAGAAATGGACAACTAATGGACACGCTGCATTCCAAAGAGATATGGTTTGCTTAAAATGGACGATATAGTAGTTTTCGCCTCATCATTACAGGAACACACAATACACTTATGAAGTACACTATTTCTGCATAAATTAAATAAAAGACTTTTTTTTAGGATTTCTAAGGTATTATACAAAATTTATTAAAGACGTTGTAAGCTTAGCGAAACGACTTATTAAGAAGCTAAAACAACACAAAACGGTAGAAAAAGACAAAAATATACAAATAGGGAATACCAAATTCGAACGCGGTCATATTGATTAGAATTAAAATTGGCGTGTACGTAAGCGAAAAACATGCCATCGAAGAATCGACGTTTGTCGCAATATCTAGAAAAAAAAAGTTTTAAATTGGCTAGCTGGATCAGCCACCCCACTGTCCTGATTCACGGCAAGGAGCCGTTAAGAATTTTAGTTTGAGCGAGCTATGTAGAGTCACGGTAAGGAGCCGTTAGATTTATAGTTTTAGTGTGTTGTACGCTTATAATCATCATAAGTATAAGTAGTAAGGAAGGCAAGGAGCCGTTTCTAATATCGATAGGATATAAGCATTTTTAAACATATTGTATTAAAATAAGAATATAGATGATTAAGGGCAGGGAACTACATAGCCATTAAGGGCATCATTTAAGCATCAATTTAACCGACGGTCGCCGCAGCAACCGTGCA